CGGACGTTTAAGTGGCTGAAAAAGTTAACTCTACATATTCAAGCTATTAGCATACACTGCTAGGCTGACCATCTCTCTCACTGTCTCTTTCTCACTCAAACACTTAGGCTCTCTTAACTTTATGCCAATTTGTTAGCAAATTTGACGTTCAATAATTTCTGGTGTATGCAAAAAGGGTTCAAAAGGGAGGATTTTAATTGAGAGGAAATGTTTAAAATTAGAAATGAAGACTTAGGTTCAAGGTTTTTGATAAGGAAACATTTTCAGAGTGAAAAGAATATGATTCCATGACTTTATGGGATTTTACATTCAGTGAACTAATCCAACCGTGAATTAAAAATATTCAAATTTGGTTTAATATAGGACGGGTTAACAGATTAAACGAGTTGACTCATTTAATTATAATTTTTGTTGTTTTTTCATTCCAAAAAAAATTACAAATTTTTTAATTGAAATCAAAATAAAATTCAATCTAAATACAATCCAAAATGATGTTAAATTCTAAATACAATTCAAAATCACAATACAATTCAAATATATTTATAGATACGAGAACATTCAGAAATTTTAAATTTTTTTAATATAATTTAATATTTAGAATTTATGAGTCAACCTGGATAAATTGGGTTCTTAGTGAACTAAATTCATTTTTGATCTATGTCAAAATTTGTAACTTTTTTAACTTGACTTGAACCCATGATGAACCAAGTTAATTCACCGATTTTATTTGATTTGATAGGTCTTCCAGATCTTTGAGTAGCCTACAAAAATAAATAGCAACTAATCAATACTTCATCAAAAATTAAAAAGCTGATGAAGATTACACGAAGTATATATCCATAGTAAAAAGTGAAAAGATCATGATTCTTACCACTCCTTTTCATGTGCATTGCTCTTAGATTTCAATAACCTATATTATTAATTCAATAAAGTAAACAAAATGAATATTTCCATTGACGAGAATACTTCCATTGACGAGCATATTTCCATTTGGCCGTGGACACAATGACCAAGTTCATCTTTGTTTTCCTCTCCCCAGGTGGCTGATACCTTCCAATATTAATATTTGTTCTCAACCACAAGTATAAAACTCTGCATTAGTACTTAACTTCATAGCTTTGATTCCCGAACAACATATACGTATTAATATTACTAGTGATTCTATCATACACATCAGCCACGAATTCTCCATCTGGAAATCGGTAGAAGAAATGGCCATAAAGCTGTCGAAGTGCCTTTCCACTCGCATCTTTTCTCTGTTTTGAAATTCCCCTTTTGAATCACCAAAAGTATATATTCTTTCCTCTCCTGTCTCTTAAGATTCTCATTGTGCCTGGTGATCATAGCCAGCCGGCAGGCATCCACAACAAACCTACCATGCCCCGCCGACAGCCATCACCGCAACCTAGCACCACCGCTGATCATCTTCACCATCAATGCCGCCGCCATCAAACTCTAATTCACACCACCACCATCAACACAAACCTGCAATCAGAAAAACTCCAATCGAAATTCGCCGAACTCATCTTCTTCACCAGAAACCTCCATTGACGCACCATCACGAAAGCTCCGTTCATCACCACCTAGCTCCGCTGCCAACCTACATGTTCGTCTTCATGGCGCAACCCCGTTCAACCTCCATTCATCATCATCATCAGGCAACGTCAACCTGCAAAATCAAACCAAACCCTTAAATAGATAAATCCTAAATCCCAAGTCGCGCCTCCATGACTAAAACCACAAAGCTTCAACCTCCAACAAGAAAAGCACCATACAGAAATCGAAACTTGCAAGGGATGGTCTGAACCCTAGAATTGCAATGAAGAGAGGGAACCTTGACTTTTTTGGTGTCGACACTGAGGATGGAGCCTCAGCTGTGGAAGAGTCCCAGGCTCTGACAAGCCACCTGGAGCCACCCTCCGAGAGTGCAACCGAGATCGAGAACAGTGATACTACGGTTGATTATGCTGAAGCAGTTTAAAGGCGGAGCTCATTTCACCCATGCTTCTAAATTATTCAATTAACGTGCAGTTTGAAGGCGAAGCCATCTCTCTCATGTTTCTAAATTATTTAATTAACGTGATTCAGGTCCCTTGGAGGTAGAATATCAGGATTAAAAAACAATTTTTCATGTATTAAGGCATTGGTTTTAGAAGTAGATAATGCGAAATTTTACACAAAGGTAATATTAGCAATTAATATGTCCAGTGTTAATTTATATCCAATGATGACCGTCTCGGGCATAATGACCACAAACTTCTACCAGCAGCAACTAATTTACCTACATACGAGAGATTGTAAGTCTTACTTTATGTCTGAATTACTGACAAAAACACATAAAAGTTTATTCAACATCTATCTGTGTTAACGTTGAAAGTTATACCTCGATTACAAATAAATTTGATTTATAATATATAATTTAATTTGCAAATCTTATTTTATAAAATTGAATCAACGTAACATAATTATGAGTTAAAATTTATCTTAATAAAATTTGATGTTTGTTAAATTAATTATTCTATCTATTATTAAACAATTAATTATCTAATTTCATATTTAATATGTATATACATTAGTTAAGGTGTGTTAAAAGTTTAATATCGATTAGAAATAAAATTAACGTATAAAATATAAATAAATATAAAAGTGTCAGTGGACTCTCATCTCTTTCAACTTTTTATATTTAAGAGAGTGGATTAAGTTGGAAATCAATTAATAGTAGGGCACCATATACTTTCCATATTACAAATCTTCATCGTTTGTTTTTCTTATTAGAAAGTATATCTAACAGCCTATATAAATGGTTAGATATTTAAAAATTGAGTTATTTGGAGGTCCTTGAGTTAGGAGAGAACTACTTGAATGAGTTTGAAATTATATTGCGGTATTCAGGTTAGTTGTGATTAGTATTTGATATTATTTTATATTTGAACAAGATATCACTTATTTTGAACATTAGCATATGCATCCTCCTTATTATTAATTAGTGATTACTCTTTCAATTTTGTTTTTATCAGAGAATGAGACATTTAAATGTCCAACCAATTTACAATATCTATACTTGAGTTCAAACCGTTTGAGTAACAAATCTCTTTCATCTCTGAATGACCTTCCACATCTCCAATATCTTGATTTAAGCTACAATAAATTAGAAGGAGCTGTAGATATAAGCGGTCAGTATTTTCATCCTTTACTTTATTACAACATTAAAAAAATGATTATATATGCTTTCAGTTTTGTTTTATTTTGAGTGAGTTGACTCATAACACATGCTTTCAATTTTGTTTTTATCAGAGAATGAGACATTTAAATGGCCAACCAATTTACAATATCTAGACTTGAGTTCAAACAGTTTGAGCAACGAATCTCTTTCATCTCTGAATGACCTTCCACATCTCCAATATCTTGATTTAAGCTACAATCAATTAGAAGGAGCGCTAGATATAAGCGGTCAGTATTTTCATCCTTTACTTTATTACAACATTAAAAAAATTCAGATATTATATTATAATATTTTAGAATTAATAAACATACATACACTTGATTACAAATCATAATTAATTTCATGTTAAGATAATTAAGATTAAAAATATCCACAAACTACCGTATATATAATAGTTTATATTATAAAATATTGTAAAAAAATACACTTTTATTTAAGTAGATGTGACTCCTTTCCAATATGCATGCTCCTTATTTTTATTTATAGTGATTACAGATAAGTTGACCCTTGTAGTTTTTAAGAGTAGATAAAATTTGTTTAATTATTGGTAAAAAAAATATGTATTTTTGTATTCTTTTCCTGTGTCACCGTTATCGAACTCATGTTGAACCACTCTTAAATATGGAATTTTATTCTCAATATTCTTCAACCTAAATAGTTATATATATATTTATTTATTTATTTATTTATTGATGGAGTTTAACACTGATGTGGTAACACTAACTAAAATCAAAATAAAATTCAATCTAAATATAATAATGTTAAATTCTAAATACAATATAATGATGTTAAATTCTAAATACAATATAATGATGTTAAATTCTAAATACAATTCAAAATCACAATACAGTTCAAATTATTTAAAGATATGATAACATTTAGGAATTTTGGTTTTTTAATATAATTTAATATTTAGAATTTATAATTAATTTTGTGAACCAAACCCAACTCATCACGGATTCAACATAGGTGAGTTGGGTTCTTAGTGGACCACATTCATTTTGAATCTGTGTCAAAATTTGTAACTTTTTTTAACTTAATTTGACTGAACCCATGATAAGTCAAATTGATTCATGAATTTTAATCTATTTTGACAATTTCGTTTGTTGGTAAATTGTCTCATTCTCCTTTTTCTTCCCGTAGTCAATATGTTTTCTGTTATTATAATCCGTAGATAACAATAATTTATATACAAATTTTATTTTGTGGATAATTTTTTATGAGAAATTTAACATTTTAAGTTACTCTTATTTTAACATTTATCCAATGTTAACGTACGTAAAAAAATCTATTTAATCAATCAATTAATAAATTATGGTTAATTTTATTTTTAAGATAATTAATATTTCAAAAGTTAAATTACAACACAACCGTTTGTATTATAAAAAAAGTATTACAGATATAAACTATCGATAGTTATATTCACTATAAGAAAAACATAGGATAACTTTCTTTGGATTATGTTTAGATTATATTTGGACTATTTATCTTTTAAGTTTTGGATTATGGGTGAAACTAAACTTCATTAAAATTATGTTTCAATTTTATTTAAATATTGGATTGTGTTATGTTTTAATTTGATTTGTATTAAATATCATTCAATTTGATGAATTATGTTTGAATAAATTTAATTTAAATTATTATATATGATTAAATAATATTGTATTAGGTATTATATAGAGCAAAGGGATAAATAATTTTGATTGTATGGATTATTTTTTTCGTACTAATAAATTACTTGACAAAATTGGTTTTGGAAGTAAATAATGTGTGTGAAAATTTACACATAGGTAATATTAGTAACTAATATATCCAATGTTAATTTATCCAATAATGACGACTTGCATGCCGTGAATATATAACGAAAGATTTCTAATAGCAACAATTTACCTACATAATGTGAGGCCCAATTACCCACTCATGACATCACAACACTCATAGATTCTCTGCATTTCTCATGAATGTTATCATCAATAACGTTTTTCAATGGTTATTTGTCTAGTCTTTGTTTCTTTATCAAATACTTAGTCAAAGTATTGCAACTCTTTTATGTATTATGCTTGCTAGAAAGATTTCTAACTATCATTTCTACCTCTCTTTTTTTTCTATGAAAGTGGTGTAAGTAAATATAGTAAAAGTTAAAATTTACATTAATATCTTTCATCATAGTCAACTTTTAGAGGTTAAACTTAGACTAACTTTTTGGAAAAATAATACTTTTAGTTATTTGAAAGTAAACTAGTTTTGTAATGCTTCTGGGCGAAGAAAAATATAACTCTTCACATTAATGTTTGTTGACTTTTATTAATTCTTTTTTTTTTTTTTGCAGGATTATCAACTTCATCCAATTTGACGAATCTTTATCTACGCCATAATAATATCCATAATTTTGTTAACCATCAAGGTATTAAAGAAAAAATGATTTAAAATGGTTTAATTTATTGTTTAGAGACAAAGAAAAGATATATTAGATAAATTTATAATACTAACACATTGTAGAATCCCATAATTTTCTCAACGTTGGTATATTTACTTTGCACAAAATATATTTGTCACCTTCCTAAATGCATATATTATCTATCTCATTTAGTCTAACGCTTATTTACATTTGTTTTTAATTTAATTGACATATCTTTCAGGCTTAAAAGGTCTCAGTGGATTGGATGTCCTTGATTTAGATTGGAATATGATAGATGGAAACAAACTAAGAGAGTCATTACGAGCTTTATCATTATCCATTAGAAAGCTTTCTATATCTTACAATAACTTCAAAGGAACAATTTTAGCTGAAGGTAGTAATATTAATGATTTTCACAAAGATAAATTAATTTCATAATTGTGTTACATTAAGATTTATATATATATTTTCTACTGCGCAGATTTTCATGATTTAAGTAACCTAGAACGTTTGA